AGAGGGTAGGCAGGCTGGGGGGCCAGTAACAGGGGACCTCGCCTGGTCCAACAAATTCCCTCATTCGGGGCCAATCAGGTCCTGAGGGTGCTAGACCGCAGAGATCCAACCCGTACTTCAATAGAGAGACCAGCTTAAAAGTGCGTGGCTCATTCTTGTTATGGAGAATCTGATTTAGGCTTGATCTGCACAAACAGTTGCACTGTCTTAACTAAAATTGTGTTTCTAAGATGATGCAAAACTCTCTATGGATACACTTGTATTGGTTAAATAATCCTGGCTTATAGTGATTTAACTTGTCGATGAATTTACATGTGCAGACTAAACTCTTTTAGCTAGTTTTAAATCAGCGTAAAGCCAGCTTGTGCACATCAACTGCTTTTGTACAAGCATAATTACAGCAAATCGTATCTTTTTTCCCCCCCGATATAGTTATACTGATACAGCAACTCTAATATGGACACCGTTATATTAGTATATCTTGCTCCTCTTCTCACAACTTCAGTGTGTAGAGAAATAAAGACAAATCAGAATGCTTCTCCAAGGCACGAATGGCGTGGGTTATAGTTTTACTGAAAAATAAGTGCAATTTATACAGCAAGGTAACTTTCTCCTGTAAGATCCTGGTAGAGACAAGGGACAGGTAGTTTTTAACTCTTTGTATTTTATTGAGGAAAACCCCGGGTGGGGGGGTTTAGTGTTGACCTCAGCTAGCAACATTGTGGTGAAAACTATCTGTATTCTGTCTCCACCAGGATTTTACATGGAGAAAGCTATTCTGATTTTGTTCTCAGAAGCTACCAAGTTATCGTTGACAAGCTAATTAATAAATAATTAGTTATCAGGTTTTTAAAAAATCCATTAGTTCAAAGTGGTAGCTATTTGTTCCATTATCTCTTTGCATATTTTTCTCAACATGGACAAAAATTTACAGTCTGTTCCATAAAAATGCAAAGGTAGCACATAACTCTAGTATACTTTCCCTTCATTTCTTTTTGGATGTTGGAAAAGATGATTAGAAGAAATTGCTGGTAACAAACTACAAAGGAGCTTTAGCCTATAGCAGCTTCAGTTAATGAGTCTTCTTCCATATGTCTTTGACATTTGATTTTTGCATATAATAGAACCTGTTTCTGAAATGCAAGTGGAAACTTCAAACTGCAAACTGGATCACATTCATTTCAGTTACCCTATCTGACAAAATCCAAAGCAGAGTACCTGTAATTAGAAAAGTAAGCCCTTTCATAGACTGTAACTAGCATTCCTGGTCTAGCATCTCAGAACAAACAAACAATTTCAGGTGACACAATCCCAAGAATTTGATCACAGAGGAATCATGAGATAGCATCTGTGAGTATTCTGTCAGAGTGACACAAGGAGAATTTTCAATAGGGATATGGTCAGCTTTTTACATTGCCAATTCAGGAAAGGTAAATGGTCCTTTATTTGTGAAGCACACAAAATGTGTACATGATAAAGTAATGATAAAACCCTCACCTAGTCTTTTCTTTCCATTTGTTCACAGGACTCTCTCTTTCTCCCTCCCTCTCACTCTGTTCAGAGTTTCATCTGGTCACGTTCACTACTGGAGTGACTCTTGGAAGTTGTAGGCCTATTAATAACATATATTACTTCGGCTCTACCTGCAGATACTGTTCAACTTTTTTACTATGTGAACTCATCCACTGCTATCCAAGTGCCATTGCTGAAGAATGGAAATAGTTGGTGGTCAGATAAAAATGTGAAATTTCGGAATCCAACATCATACAATCTTTCTTCTGCATTTGCAGGTAAGAATGATTCCATTGCCATGCCTTAGTACAGAAGTGTTTTTTCTGTTTGTGGAAATCTCCTGCGACAGGCACAATCTCTTGGAGAAGGGTCTAAATGTTCTTCCTGAAGGCCCAGGAGAACTTGCCCAGGAGAAGCACAGTGAGAGCAACGTCACGAGATCTTCTCCAGCTTTTCAATGGGAAATTCACCACATTTGGGAAGGAGACTGGGAGATGCTATGAAGAAAAAAAGATGTTCTAGACGGTCAGGACAGTGGAGCCCCACTATGTTCCTCCTCATCCTCACCCACTAAAGGTCCGGGGCAAAATGCATTAACCAAATGGAATCACATATTAAATACGTGTTCATCAGCACTGTTTTGCTATTACTATTAGTTTGTATTGCAGTAGTATATAGTAGTCCCAGTCATGGGCCCAGAACCCCATGTTGCTAGGTGCTGTACAAACACAGAACACGAAAACGGCCCCTGTCCCTTCAGAACGAACAACGTAAATATTGTAGAATACCTTTCAAATTAATGACAAATAAGATGCATATGGTTGTTGCTCTTTTAGAGCATTTGTAGGTATCCAGAAAAGAATCGGTGAATAAAAAAGAAAAAAATAAAGGTGAACAATGAAATGCGGAGGGAAAGTTGCCTTATAATTAGAGTGGGGTACTATTCCTGTACATGTCACTTTGCCTCTTCTGAATGGTTTCTCCATTTATCAGATGAGGCTAATACTATGTACCTACACCCACAGAGGTTTTGTGAGGTGAGGTTCATTAATGTCTGAGAGGTGATCTGAGATCTTTGGATGGAAAATGTGTTCTGCTCTGTGTCTTGTGGATAATGGATAGAACCTTTGTCTGGTCTGTATTTTTGGTTGAACATCAGAAATCCAGAAGGATTAAATAATTTTAACTACCTATCTTAGAGGTGTTCTAACCATTTATAGCTCATCCCTAGTCTCCATCTTCCTCTGCAGGAACAGCAAGGCCTCCTTACTGGCAGAAACCAGCCTATTTACTGGATGAGAAGGATGAAAGGAACAATGGCTATATAAACGATGACCTTATCGTCTGGATGCGGGTGTCAGCCTTTGCCACGTTCAGAAACCTTTACCGTCGCCTCAGCCGTACAAACCAATTTGCTGATGGTCTCCCAGCAGGGAATTACACCTTCCACATTACCTACAGTATCCTTTCCTCTTGTTCAAGGCACTCCTTAATTTTTAGGCAGGTAAAAAATAAGGATGTGAGTGAGTAGTTGATGAGTGACTCGATTGGTCACTTCCTCCCTGCCCCCCTTGCTGCCTCTGTCAGAGAGAGGCAGCAAGGGAGGAGGTGCAGGATCTGGTGCAGGGGAAACTGACTTAAAAGCCGGGTCCCCCCAGCACCATCTCCATGGGGTGCAGTGGGGATCTGGTGACGCTTCTGCCTTTGAAATGTAGCAAGGCTCTTGCTACATTTCAAAACCAGAAGTGATGTAGGGAATCTGGGGTTAGCTGTGGACTCGAGCAGTCCCTTGCTGGCCCCGTGCTCCCTGCCTTTGAAATGTACAGGAGCCCCCCCTGAGCTCTTGCTACATTTCAAAGGCGGAGGCACCTTTATCAGCTAATCAAATAGTTGATGCAAATTACATCGACTATTCGATTAGTTGATTAATCTAAATTTAACATCCTAAGTAAAAAAAAGGAGATGCCTGTTAGTGTGGTAATGTATGCCAGTAATATAACAAAAAAAAACCTAGTTTGGGGGCAGCCCTGGATTTCCTGCAGCCTGGGCTAGTGCAGTTAAGATATGTCATTTAAATGGTCCTTATCAGGCCAATATGTGACACTAGAGTTAACTGCTGAGGCAGCTTCAGGCATGAACTGTGGCTGGAAGCAACACCAGCTTTGGTACAGATTCTGGGAAAATAAGAGACTTGGGCTTTATCCACACAGCAAAAATGGAGGGATGGATTGATACTGATATAATTATACTCCTCTCGCTTCCCATGTGGAACAAAATACAGGACTATGTAGCACTTTAAAGACTAACAAGATGGTTTATTAGATGATGAGCTTTCGTGGGCCAGACCCACTTCCTCAGATCAGATAGTGGAAGCACTATCTATTCCCATGTGGACACACTCCAGGTTTCTCTACACTGCAGTCAAGGTTGTGAATGACAGCTTGTGGTTCTCTGGCTAGTGTACTAAAAACAAAAGTGAGAATGCCATGGCATGCACTTCCATGAGGGCTGCGTGCATGAGTACGCAGTCCTGGGAGTCAAGCTGGCTTGTGGAGCCCGTGCTGAAGATCGTGGGAGAATCTTCCCTTTTGTTTTTAGTGGGCTAGCTAGAGTCCCACTAGCATGGAGACATTTACATGAGCTGTCATTAACACCTTCGGCTGCAGTGTAGATGCCCCTTACTCTACTGTGGGAGAGCTACTTTCTGGCTCAGCTGATGTTAGTGGCTCTCAGCTTTTCCAGACTGCTGTTCTCCTTTCAGGAGTCTGATTTGCCTTGCATACCCCCAAGTTTCACTTCACTTAAAAATGACTTGCCTATAAAAATCAGACATAATGTCTTAGCACACTATTACTAAAAAATTGCTTACTTTCTCATTTTTAACTATATAATTATAAAATCAATCATGTCCTGAATGTGCTGGACCAGGGAGGTCCAACCTGTATTAGTTTGTACTGACTTGGCTAGTGCTTTGTATGTGGTCTGTTATCAGACTAGGAAAATATCTAGATGAGTTGATATATCCCATGGAAGTTCTCTGTGTACCCCGGGGGTAGACTCACTCCTGGTTGAGGACCACTGGACTAGATGGTTAAGAGCCTCCAGTTTACATTTCTTGGGAAGAGGTTTAAGTTAAACTGAATTAAATTGTCCACACATGGGCTTATACCGGAATAGCTATTTGGACATGCATAGTAAAACTCTTCCATATAGACAAGGCCTTCGATGAAGAAATATGACTTAGAATTGAGAGTTGGGGCCATAACAAAGATGCTATGTTGAGTGTCCTCATAGCAGAGGCTGAAGTGACAAGGACAATGCTAAAAGGTCATTCAGTACAATAGCAACCTAAAAGGTATTTTCCCAGTAAGTTTTGCAGGCTGCTTTTAAATATGATGATGCAGCTCCACTGCAGTACAAAGCTATATGTGCATAAATCTGACATCATATTATTAAAGAAATCCAGTGTAATTTTGCTAAGACTGTAGATGCACCAAATGTATATGAATTTCTTACCCTCGCCCAACCATTTTGGGGTTTGTGGAGCCACAAGAGGCAAGGGGATATAGAATAGGTAAAAGTACCATAAATTTTTTTACAAAAAATGCAAAAATTCCTGCCTACTTTGAAGAGTATTTTTTGCACTCTCCTCACTTTTTATGTCATCCTGATTGTTAATGAAACTTTAACTTTGCCTAATCAGATTTCCCTGTAACCAAATTTCAAGGCAAAAAGCAGCTGGTTCTCTCGACCATCACGTGGAGTGGAGGGAGTAACCTTTTTCTGGGAATCGCCTACACGGTTTCTGGCGCAGTAATAGTGCTGGCAGGCTTTGTCATTGCTGCAATTCACTTAAAGCGGAGAAAAAAGAAAACATACTTTCAGAGACATCCCAAATGACATAGCTTTCTGAACAAACATCAAGATACACCTGTGAGCTAGTGTACGGGGGCACTGGGGCGGGCTATGGACCTTTCATGCTGTCTTTCATTTCAGTCATGACATGGATTTGGTAAATGCAAAGGAGTCATAAGCAAAGTGATGATTTGTCATAACCCAAAACAAACATAATTCAGTCAGGGTGGCTTATGGTCTTATTAGCATATGAATTACATAGAAGTACATTTTCCCCTAATGATTGCCCGTCAAAGTCCAAGATGAGGATCAGTAAGAGAAATCTTAGCAATTTTAGAACTACAAACTCCAGAAAGGATATTGAGTACAAATACCCAAGCCAACTGGCCAACCGCCCAGGTCCTTACTCAGTCTTCTGATCTAAGTCCTTATTCAGGTAGAACTCCCATTGACTTCACTGGGAGCTTTCTGTGAGTAACAGTTGATGCCCTGATCCAACCCATCAGGCACTCTCACTGAAATGAGTGGGACTATTCATATGCTTGAAGTTACATACAAGCTTACGGGTCTAATTTTAAAGGTATTTAGGGCTTAACTCACACTGATTTCAGTGGGTGTAAGGTGCCTAAGTGCCTTTAAAATTGGGGTTCTAAGAGCTTTGCAGCGTCGATGCCTGAGTAACGATCTTGAGATTTGGGCCTTTCGGAGTACACCTTTGGACATTAGGAGTTGGGAGAATCATCTTGCTTAACTGAAAGGAGTTGAGTAGAGTTGATTCCTCGCTGAATGCATTTAAACCTTCTTTGCAGCTATTTAGCTGAAGACTGTTTTCTGTCAGGCTGGAGTAAAGGGTCAGCTGTTCAGTGATTTTCTCTGATCAAAAAGCTAAAGTTCAGACTCTCAAGAAAAAGATAGGGCTAAAACTTAAACATGACCATTTAAATGTCAGTATGAACTATTTCTCTGCCGATCGCTGCAGCAGAAACATCTAGCTAACTTGCTTAGACCATAGTCCCAAATTGTCTCTTGCTCATCTGTGCCAAAAAGCTTCAGTAGTCCGCTACAGTCGCCAAGACCTCCAGCTTCTTACCAGATGACTTCTATGGCATTGCCAGTTGAAAAATCAGAGACAAATTGAAAATATAGGGCAGGATGAACTTCATTGAATTTAATCTAAAAATAAATACACAGACTGCTTAATTGTGTCATTCGTTTTCAAGGTTAGTTCATTTATAAACCTTCATTTTTTAAAATGTAAATAAGCATAAGGGAACAGAATCTGCTGCAGAATCTAGGAACCTTGCTGCAGAATGTAGGTCAAATTTGCCATGGAGAACATGGATGACTATTAATGGGAGGTTTCATGATGAAAGTGCAAATGAAATTAAAGCTAATATCATTTACTTAAAATGAGTTTCTGTGTTCACTATTTTATAGTCATTTATAAACTTCCCAAAATTAAAAAAAAAAAAACCTAACATTGATCGCCAGAGCTTATTACATACATTAACTAAGTAATCCTCCCATCACCCTGTGAAATAGTCATTAGCCTTATTGTACAAATGGGGAAGTTGAGGCAAAGAGAGTTTTTACATTTAGGAGCTTACAGGCGGGTCTACACTTAAAATGTTGTAATGGCGCAGCTGCACCGATGCGGATGCACCATGGTAGAACTTCATTGAAAATGCTATTATGCTGATGAGGGCTTTTGCCATCAGTGTACTTAATCCACCTCCATGAGAGCTGGTTGCTATGTCAGTGGGAGAAGTCCTCCCATCAACATTATGCAGCCTACAGCTGGGGGTAGGCCGATATAACTGCAGTGCTCATGGGTGTGGATTGTTCACACTCCTGAGTGACATAGTTATACCAGTGTACGTTTATAGTGCAGACCTGATTCTTTCCCACCACCCAGAATGCACAGAGACACAGACAGATTTTTGAGCTAAGAAGTATGTAGTTTATTTGCTGCTTTAGTGGGTAATAGGTCCACTGAAACAGTGCACAGAATAGGATTAAATGCAAGTGTCCCCCCTCCTCCCAGACATTCAGGTGCTTGTCATAAATACGTTACGAAATTCCTCATTATATGTGGCATAAACTTGTTTTCTCCCTAGCACTAAGATTAGTTTGCTGGCCCAGTTTACTGGATGAGGTTGCTGGTTGTTCTCTTTTCTTTCCAGACAAGCAGGCTTCTTTTCACGTGTCCCAGCACCTAAAAATATGCATTCTAGGGATGTAAAAAATGGTTAAAAATGTAACCATATAACTGTTAAAAATCCTAGTGGTTATGCATATACTGAAGAGCCCACAGCACCCTGGGAGTGGGGCCAAGAGATGGGAGCTGGCTTATAGTATAAGTAGCAAGGAGTGGGGCCAAGAGCCGGTACATGGTGGGAGCCAGTTTATAAGCCGCCTCTCAGCCTGTGTCAGCTCCCAGCCACTGTCCCCGCTCCCGGGGAGCTAGCTGCACTATGGGCTCTGCAGTATAAGCTTGATATTGCAGAGCCCACAGCATGTGGCAGCAGCCATCTCTCTGGGAGCAGGGTTGGGAGCCTGCATGTAATTGTAATTGAAACCGATAAGTTGATACTTCTTGGTTAATCGTTTAAATAGTTACACCTTTACATCCCTAATGCAATTCTGCATGTTACATCCTACATGTCACCTCCTTTTCTTGTTTTATGTGTACTCACTATCCCATTACTTGTTTCTACACTCTATTACACTTCTTCATTCCTTCCAGTTAGTATGTCTTCCTGCACAATACGTGGGCTTTGTGATACAGGGTGCCATCTGTGTTCTGCCACTCTTGTCTAATATTTCCATACAGAATGTCCATTATTACAGTAGCATCACTAGCTGCCTTGTTCCTCTGTCACGCCTGAATAAGTCCGTGGCAGAGTCCTTCGATACAGGTGACCATCAATTTGATGATTATTCCTAGCTCTGTCCTTCAGTGGACTTGCTATACACAACTCAAATCCATGCCCTACATATCTCAGGAATTGGAAAAGGTTCAGAAAAAGGCAACAGACATGATTAAGGGTTTGGAATGGGTCCCATATGAAGAGAGATTAAAAAGACTTGGACTTTTCAGCTTAGAAAAAAGGAGACTAAGGGGTGGGGAGGATAATGATAGAAGTCTATAAAATCATGACTGGTGTGGAAAAAGTGAATAAGGAAAAGTTATTTACTTGTTCCCATAACATAAGAATTAGAGGTCACCAAATGAAATTATTAGATAGCAGGTTTAAAACAAACAAAAGGAAGTTTTTCTTCATGCAGCGCACAGTCAACCTGTGGAACTCCTTGCCAGAGGATGATGTGAAAACAAGGACTTTAACAGGTTCCAAAAAGAACTAGATAAATTCATGGAGTTTAGGTCCATCAATGGCTATTAGCCGGGATGGGTAGGAATGGTGTCCCTAGTCTTTGTCAGAAGCTGGAAATGGATGACAGAAGAGGGATTACTTGAGGATCCCCTGTTCTTTTCACTCCCTCTGGGGCATCCGGCAGACAGGATACTGAGCCAGATGGACTTTTGGTGCGACCCAGGATGGCCATTTTTCTTATGTTCTTATGTAAGAATACCAGCATGAGACTCCTTTCCCAATTAATGTTCATGGGCCTGGAAATGTTGAACCCAGAACACACAATGTCTTGGTGAACATTTTGCATCAATAGACACATAACCACTCTATTAAGCAAAACACAAGCAAAACATGCAAATTATAATTAACTTCTGTATAAGACAAATGATTATCACTGGCTTCAGGTGTTGTATTCCACTTTCTATGTTAAAATGCATTAAGTCATCCCACAAGTTATTGGCTTCTACTAGTCTCTTGTCTTTTCCCAACCTTGTGGTAGTTTTCCCATCTCACCCACACTTAACCTGCGGATATGTGACTCTTGTTTCTTGAGCATTGCCCCATACAACCTATGCTGACTTCAGCAAGGCCCGCCAATGCATTGATAACAGAATCTCTCATTCGAATCTTCGCTGACCAGGTTACATTTTGAGTGATAAGGGGGGGGGGCACCATTTGCCAATTTTCATTTCCCAATATTCTTTAATGACACATTGCTGCACTGTGTGCCTTCTGAGAGTATTACTCAATTTCTGTGCCCTTCCAAAGTGATATTTGACACATTATCAGGATTGTTTAAATCAGGGCTACTCAACTTTGGAAGCCTGGGGGCCACAATGATACTCACAGCACATGCCAAGGGCTGCACCTTATGTGTGGGTGCATACACCTGGAAATATATATGCAAAGAGTTTCTTTCCCACTATGCCCTGGCGCTCCTGGCACCTCCTCTCTGGGGGCTAGAAATGCCGACACCCTGTACCAGTCTGTTCCAGCCAGCCCGTCTGCTTGCATCTTTCAATGCTCACTCCACCTGGGAGATGCCTCGCCATTGTGGATCGTGTTCTCAACAGAAGCCATGTTCAAAGGATCCCACCTATGGGCTGCATGTTGAGCTCCATGTATACCCAAACATGTCCCAGAGAAATCTGCATGATCAAGCATTCCTTCCTCATCCTTTACTGCCCACTTATTATCTTTCATACGGCACATGAGTGACTCAATAGTAAAATGACAACATTAATGATTGGATAGGTATTTACGAGAGTTCTATTCAAGGGACTGACCATCAGTACAGCACATTGAGTCCATTCACAAATCGTACCACCTAGGGTCCATTTGAAACTAATGTTCAATTTTACAGAATAGAAAGAATTCCATACTACTGGCCAATGTCCATGTAATAAGCTCCCAATTATACTTAGGAAATCATTTAACAAATGTAATTGAGCCATGTCTCATTTAGCACAGTCTTTCCCCCAACTGGGATTGCAAATTAGACTAAGGAGAACAATTTTTAAATGTTTCTTGATGACTGTGGTGGTTTTTAGGAATTATACCTGCTTTTGGCTCACCTCTCATAGGTTGGCTCCTATATTCATGGCATAATCTAATTTCCTACACAGATTTTCTGTATCACCTGCTTTTAGTATTCCAACTGCCATACCTATTCTTCCTATCTAGCCTCTCTCCCTCTCTTTCCTCCCACACACATACAGACCTTTTCTTTTTTCCAAATACTTTCCTCATTCATAATTTCTCCATTCTTACAACTGTTTATATTGCATGTGAGCAGTTTGGACAGGTCTGAGTAATACTTATATTGCTAGGGTTCCAAGTAATCTGTGCAACAACCATGGATATATTTTCAATTATTTGTTTCTGCCTTTCCCAATTCTCGCAGTGACCACCTTTTCTATATATAGATCTGGCTTCCTTGCTCACCCCCCATAGAACATTACAGTTGTCTGAACAAATGTTGTATACTTTGTTGTACAGTGTCACCTTACGTTCACAGAGGCCTGTAGTCAACTTGTTTACTGTGAAAACTAGTCATGTTTTGAATCTTAAAGATGCTGGCACTTCCCAATAAGTGGCCTAATGGTCTAAAATAATTCCACTCATAATTCTTGCTTGCAAAGGAAAGTGCTGCAAAGCCATTGCCAGGACTACTTAAAACCTGATCTTATAATGCTAAACTGTAGCCAGCACTTGGAAGCATATGGATCTATATATTTTTATTACTCACAGAAAAAGAAGGGACACCTGCCAAAAGCTGAACACAAGCTTCTAAATTTGTCTTGCCAGAGTTGATGACATCATAGATGCTTAAAGCGTTGCAGGGCATCTGGTTTTCTTGTCATCAACTGTTTACAGAGCAGATAAATATCAGAGAAAATTATTGTAAATGAAATCTTATTTCATCTGAATGTTTTAGGGATAATAAAATAATTGGAGGGATGAATAATTGAATAATACTGGTAAATTATTGAAATCAAGTGACAATCTAGATTCCTATAAGAGGGAATTTTGGGCTAATGTGACTAGGGTTAGTAGGGTTTTTCTGTATTTTGTTTATGTCTGTGTATGTGTTTTAATCAATTTACTTGTAATTTTGAATCTATTGCTAATTTGAATTCTGACATATTTACCTTTTAAAGTGATGTAGTTTGACTTTAAAACTACATACAGAAAAATATCTTACTACTATAAAAATCTTATTTTGAATCCAAATCTATTTTGTAAGTGAGAGTGCAGCATACAAGGGATTTATATTTTAATGTCAAAAACTGATACACTGCTTATATTTTGTTGCCAGCTCCCATCAGGATTGAATTTCATTAATAGGAAATATATATTAACTGAAGCATGAATTACAGGACATTTCAATAGCACATGGGTTATAATATTTGCCAAGTCCCTTTCAGGCTTTTTAGTTTCATTACTAATGCAGAAACATCCAACATCTGTCTGCCTTGGTTAGTTTTCTTCTGTTGCAAACAGGCACATTTGCTTAGCTCATCTGGGCCAAAAATAAAAGAAGGATGGACTCTCGGATTATTGTGAAAGGCCTATGATCTACAGTAACTGAAAGGCATAGTACACTGTAGCTATTCTATACAAGTAGCTCTTCAGCATGGAGATTATTATTAATAATATATATAGTGCTGTAAACTTTAATGATGCATTGCAGTGTAAAACACATTTCCTGCCACTAAACAAGCAAAGTAAAACCAACATGTTGCCAGCCTACACAAGAACTGTATCTGAACAACTTTATTTTTAAGTAGGATTTTAAAACAAGTTCCATTACTTGCAATAATGGGGCACCAGTGGCATGTTTCCTTTTGAGTCAGTATTAAATCCCTGCTTTGGTATAGCATTATGGACACAGGGCTGTTGGGACCTATTCTTGACCTCCACAGTCATTAAAAATATTGTGACACATTTTCCAAGAGTAACTGACTGCCTGACCGAATTCCAGTTTGGGTAATTGTATTATGCCTGCATAAATTCCCCATCAGTTTCAGTTGGATATGCTATTTGTCCTCTCCAACTGTCCTAAGTGTCTATTCTGTAATGTTACTGTGTGTTGGGAAATAACTGTTCCATTTTACATCAGAGGAGGCTGTCTTTGATGGGCAAAGTGGTTCAGTCTATAAAAGGTGTTGGATATAAAAAAGATTCTACAAATGTTAGTCATTATAATAATCTGGGTAATTACAGTGTTAGATGTAAGTAGTGCCTGACCTTGACTCGGTGTTTCATGTTGACATGCCATTCTCCCAGTGATGCTTTCACAATATACAGTTGCCAGCGAGGATAGCACTGGAGATTCACATTGCTGTTACTTGAGAACTGCCATGAACTTTTAACCTAATCCCAAACATTTTGATGCACTGATTATAATAGTACAATTAACAGTGCCATTTCTTCTTGCATGGAGGAGTCATCAAAAGAACAAGTCAACTGTCTTTGGATAGTACAATTTGACAGATGGTTTTAATGTGAGACTCTGATTTTTCACAGTAGCTTTTAATTGTTTTCAGTCTGAAAGCCATAAAAGTCTAACAGCTGGTAACGACTAGATTGTTAAAGATTTTTATTCAGAGCTTTGATGGTTGAAATACGGTATAAAAGAAAATAACAATTTTCACCCAAGTATGATTTTTATGCTTTTGGTGGTGTAGCTAGGGAGTGCTTTTCAGAGGAATAACTGTTTTACATTATTATGAGGCTTTTGGTGGGGTGTGGGGAACTCCCCTAGACCAATTTTGCTTAGGTTTGGTTGAGGTTTGCCTGTTAAAAATACCTATGTGAAAAGGGACACTGTCACTGAAGAGAAGAAAGTTGTCTTGAAGATGTCATCTGTGGTTGATGAAGCATTCTGCAAACATGAATTTAGGGACAGAGGCAGGAATTTCCTGGAGATATGAGCTGTATCTCCCTCTTCTTTCACTGGCAGATCAGACAGGCTTCTAGTAGTTCCAGGAGAATAAGGTAGACTGGAAACACAAAACCATCATGGCAGACATACTTGTAGATTTAGTTCTGGCATGGACTTACAGAAAGTATGTGATGAATGAATCTGTGAGCTATGATTGTGATCTCACAAGCTGAGGCTTGTCAATTACTTGGATGAAGGGTTTCCAAAGAAAATCAAAGGTATTGGGGATTCAGTTCCTCTAAGATAGTCCTGAAACAATAACTTGATTTGGCTCTAGAAGTTCTTTGCTCCTGCAGGCACCATCTTTCATGGGAAGTACAAATGGAAAGTCTGACACTCGTCACATAGTGTCTCAATAAAACTAGATTTGCATTTGTGACATTTTTCCCATCATGAGAATCCTTTCACATCCTCCTGTGCATTTGAGGGAAGTCATGTGCATTTTCTCTGTATTTGCTCATCTTGTCTGTAGGCATTTATATTGTATTTCTTGCTTTAGTAACTGAATGCTTTAACCAGTACTTGGAAACATTTCAGCTTTAAAAATTTGCTGATGATTCTGCAGAGCACATGTGGTTTTGATCAGGTAATTTGTATTCTTCTGAAGTATTAAGTACCTGTCACAAAAATGAAATAATGTTTTATTGCAGTTTACTGCAGGGCATAGATGCTATAAACAGTAGTATACTATTCTTTATCTCCTAATAACTGTAATTAAAATGGTTTTTTTCAGCGTTTGTTGTGTTTTGAAAATGGAGCCTGATTGGTCAGATCTGATAGAGTATGGCCCTTTTATGAGATGTAACCGAAATAGTTTGTTCATTTTGCTAGCACCAGGTATCTTATTGGAATGAAGAAATTCTATTGACCCTATAGATTATTAACCTGGGCCTGAAGCAGCTCATTTATATTGGTGAAATTCAGCTCCCTTCTGTCAGATTTACAGTGTTGTGCATTAAATCCACATTGACTCCATTTCATCCCTTCCCTATTTACTGCTGTGTGACTGTTAATGATGCTCCAGCTACAGTGGCTGTCAATGAAAATAAAGGGCACCACTCTCTCTTCCCCTGCTCGGGGAACTGGACTGCGACCAGAAGCTGGTGTGTGACGCACACGCAGGTAGGGAGGAGATGGGGGGGGCGGTAAGGGCTTTCCCTTCCCTGCTTTTCCTGGGCCGGCCTCTGGGGGGGAGCCAGC